AACACTCACAGATGATCAATTAGTCCAAATGGTTAATTGATATTCCTTCATTAAGGTTTGCAGCTATTAATTGAGTATTAATAGATTACACTTAATTAACTTGTTCTGTTGATGTTAAAAATAATCAAACTGTTAAATTTCTTAGTAACACTATGAATACGATTAAAATTTTCTTGGAAAAAGGATTAATTAGAGACGAAACCTCACATCATTCTATGTAGTCACGTTGCGCGTGCCGGGTCTACCGTTGCAGAGAAGGTTCAACCGTTCCTAAGATTTGAGACCCAGGTGGAGGTTTAAGATTTCTTAATAACATTATAAATACGATTATTATTTTTTTGGAAAAGGATTCGTTATGGCACATTTAGATGTCAATTCAGTAAATGGCTACTTAGTGAAAAGCTTTAACCATTTTATATACAATTCTTACCGATAGCTGGACATTTAAATATGATCAGAGAAATTCATGTCTTCAAAGATAAAACTTAATTTATATAGTTGGTAAATTGAATAAAATATTCCGACCCAATGAAAGTTCTTTAAGAAGCTGTCTCTCGATAAAGTGGTATAAAATTTGAATTTATTATACACTGACAAACCAATAAATGTTACACAACGGCACTATTCTTTTGGTTCTTACACAAAGTGTCAATTATGGTATTCATATATGACAGTTTATACTGTATTGTGCAAGTTTAGTAACCTTTTCATCTGGTTAATGGTTTTGGCAATGATTTTTGTTGAACAAACAATTTTATCAACCAGGCGAGAGGGGACAAGATTGGTATTGTATAAAACCTCAGTAAGGTGAAGCGTTCAAGTGGTATAAGTAGTGCATTTGATTTAAGCTGAGCTTTGCATTTGTGTGAGTGTACACGGATAGTGTGGGTGTGATGTAAAATTTTTGAATGCCACGTTCTTTTCTAGTTTTGAACCGGTTTATACTGCTTTTACTCCGGTCCTCGCTCTCCGCACTTCACCCTTTGTATTGGTAGCATAGTCAAATGTTGATAACGCAATGTCAAGTGAAGAAGAATTTCTACAGTTCTTAAGTTTGTTATTAATTATATTTTTTTCCCATACTATTTTGATTTGTCTAACTCTACTTTTACTGTCACTTACACAAATTCAAACCTCAGCTTAAGTCTAACGGGCTATATCAGTAGTTTTAATAACATATTTGAAGTATGTATTAAGCAAATACTAAAGTTAACATATGTATATTAAATATATAGTTTATTCTTATAAACATTTTGGAAGCTGTTCTATGAACCTTATATGGTTTTGTGCATCTTGTATGTAATATATGTATATAATGATTAATTAAGACAATGTATTTACAATTACTTTTATTTATTCGAATATTAACAATATTAAAACCTAACCATCCATTCTACCTTAAACTTTATTTAAAAAACAAGCCTCTATAATTCCTTATCGTGTATAATAACAAACAGTATATATAATTTTTCCTGTAATTACTACGTAATATAATAATAACACAAAGTTATTTTTGTTTCATAAAATATCAATTGCATTTGTTTCATAAAATATCAATTGCATTATTATCTTCAACATCAGAAGAAAGAAGCAAATAATTTATTACAAACAAGAGTCCCAGTGTTTCAGTGAAGTTTAGATTCTATATCATTTTAATGAGTATTCCAGAGTTCAAGAATAAACATTGATTTTATATATTTGAAAAACTAACTAAGAAAATAATACTTACGAAGTTACTTGTCCATTGTAAGTATAAGACGCCTTTATTCCTTTAATAAACACTGGCTTAACAGAAATACCTTTTGTATTAAGAAAACTTTCAAAGACATTTATTTAACTAAAGAAATCCGCTCTGCAGTTGAATTCGATTTTAAATACTCCAATTAATATTCAATTAGAATTAAAGTTGATTACATAGCAATTTTTAGTATTTGTGAGTTTTAAGTATACTGTTGTACAATCGTTAAATGATAATTTCAAAGGGTCAAATTGATAAAACGACATTTTCATCTCGTCTGCCCGTGATCACGATTACTTCAAAGGACCCGAAACTTCGAGAGTATGTAGTTTTAAGATAATAATCCACGCGTAGTGTATACGAAAATATTAGCTTTTAATTTCATCAATCCATTTTAATTAAAAGTTAAATGATCTCATTAGACTTAACCGACTGAGTGAATAATATCTTTTAATTATATAGAAATGTGTATACTAAAATATTTTACAAAAAGGAAGACTAGAATTATGATTTTTAAACATGTAAGCGATTTCATGCTACAAGAAAATTTGAAACTCAAAAATATGCAAGAAAACATGTAGGTTGGCGTTTTATACATAAGAACTTATACATATATGCTTTCGAATACTAGTGAATTCACTTGCGAAAATCTTAAATTAGACTCAATTTCACTAAATTCAGCTTTGCATTACTTCATTAGTAAGCATACATATATCCTAAAACATATTAACAGCAACGTGAGCTGCATTATTATGGTCGTAATAGTATTTATAGTCAAGGCTCATTACACATGTAGTGTACATATATCTAAAACTTTTGCGGTTATTCATTGAAATAAAACTATTATTTTCGAATTGACTCGGCAATTTAAATTATTTTAACTACGAGTACTTCCTCGCGACGCGTCGGTTACTTTACAGCAACTGTTATCACGAGAAAACCGATCAGGACATATTGATCGCCTGTCATTACACATGTTATGTAAAAATTTATATTTATCAATGAGATTCGAACTTAGGAATATAAATATTTCGTCTAAGTCGCATTCCCAAATAAGATATCGTGCTCGTTTTTACTAAAGATTTAATCGTTATATTTTTTCTTCCGTAATGATTTTCAAATCCGAATGAAATGTACTACAATTACATATTTCTATTAACCTACGGATGATGGTCTTTTGTATGAAGACTTTTAAAAAAATAAATTTGTGATCTAGTAACAATTTCTCGACTCCTTAAATATCAAACGAAGAATTATTATACAACTCATATTTAAACCTTGTGGGAGTGATATTTTGATTTAAATAATAATGTGATTTACGACTGCTGATCCTTTGTAAATCAAATAAGACATAAGTTTTGTTTGGTAATACATGATTCAATCATATTCTATCATAATAAAGGGTTACCGAAAAGGTACGATCTTTCAAAGAAATAATTTATCCTTGGATAGACTTAAAAACTATGCTAAATATTAATTTATTTTTAAATAAAGATTAGGTATTTTCACAAATGCCTTCTTTTTGTATGTTTTACCAAATTTACTTAAGTTGCTTTATATTTCATCTTGTTTACGATTATAAAGATTGAGTTTTGAAAGGCGGTAATGAATTTAAACAACAACATGGACTATCCAATAAGAAGTGTTATCTGTCACTGGCACGCGTAGTCGCGAGCAATGACATGTATTTATAACATCATACAAATACAACATATAAAGAATATAAATAAAGACTTAATATGTTGATTACACAGGTTATCAATGAAATGAGTTTAATTCTCTGAATGAATAAAACAAAGTCACGCGTATTTGAATGCCGTGGTGGCCTGAAGACGCCAGAAGAAGACCCCTGACAGGCGGTATAGGAGAACATCGTGAGGAAACCTGGACTTATAATTTAGAATCATAAGATTTAAATAGCCAATCCACCTTAAGCAAGCGTGGTGATTAATTCTTTAACTTTTTCCATGTGAAAAGAGGCCTTTGCTCAGCAGTGTTTTCGAATGGGCGAATAATGACACAAATTTTTAAAATAAATGTTAACTATATGTAATAAAAATCAACCGAGGTTGCTTTGAAAGTAATGACTTGTAATTTTGTACAAAATTTATTATATTACAACAGGAAATGAATTAGATTTTATATAATTTTCGTTTTGCTCATACAAGAGAAAATGTAATACTTAGATATATATATATATTTTTAAGATCAAGATCAGGATTGACCTTTTTTAAAAAAACAAGTACAATTTCACTATTAATTTATTAATTTTCACAAAAATAACAAAATCAGTTTAATTTTTTATATTTTCAACTGTCTTGATTTAAATTTATCGTGAAATCAAATCCGAATAGAAGATGAAAGATAAAAACACACTTTGAAACTGTACGCTCTATTAATCTATTACAACAACGCGCGTCACAAACGAAAAGAGAGTCCTGATCTCGTTTAAGAGCTGCTTATATGTGTATGGTTCGTCCTCTCGTACACTCACATATTGCTACAATATATACACATACATGATCACATAAAGACGAGATGAATTATCAAAAACCTCGTAATTATGGTTCTTGCAAATTAACCCAAAATGTCGGGTTACATGTAAAATATATTAAATGCGCCTAGTATATCTGACAATCATATTTATATTTAAATAAAGAAGGTATTGCAGAGTCATGTTTCCCGATAAGTTATCATTGTATTTTAAAAAGGTCTTTATCACGAGGGAATGAAGTTGAAAATGTAATGTGGTAGAACACCAAATGTTATACATTCAGTAGTAGTCACTATGAGCTTGATTGACTTCAAGCGTCCGTACAGTCCAATAGTAATCACTTAACATGCTCGAAACACTATAGTCCACAAAGACTATGCCATACACATGTATTCTTAGTGATTATATAAATGAAACATATATAAATTAAATACGCACACATACAAGTTACAAACGTTTACTCACACACACACTCTCATGACATTGAATTTGGCATTCAATGTCATGAGAGTTTTCCAAACCATTCAGGCAAATAAGATGAGACTGGCGATCCCCAATTATTGACATCGGTAAAGCCTTTGTTTTGATAAGAGCAAACACTTTTACTTTTTTCGTTTCTCTACCGGTGACGCTGTAACAGCCGCAGGGCTAACAGCATATTCATTACAAAAAAAAAAATTTTTTTACAGAATAGCTTACAGTACTCCGTACCGAAAGCACCGTTGAAGTCAATCGTTGTTATAATAATATATCATATTATAATCAAACATGCCGCCTAAAACCAGCGGTAAGGCAGCCAAGAAGTCCGGCAAAGCTCAAAAGAACATCTCCAAATCCGACAAGAAGAAGAAGAAGCACAAGAGGAAGGAGAGCTACGCTATCTACATCTACAAGGTTCTGAAGCAAGTGCATCCCGACACCGGTATATCAAGTAAGGCCATGTCGATCATGAACTCTTTCGTGAACGATATATTCGAACGTATAGCCGCCGAAGCGTCACGTCTCGCACACTACAACAAGAGATCCACCATAACGTCCAGGGAGGTCCAGACCTCCGTGAGATTGTTGCTGCCCGGCGAGTTGGCCAAACACGCCGTCAGTGAAGGAACGAAGGCCGTCACGAAGTACACCAGTTCCAAGTGAGGAGGAGAGGAAATGAAATGAAAAATATAATATAACAATTATTATTTATTATTGGTATTAAATAGTAATAATTAGTTATTTCTAAAGAGAGATGTCAGCATTTATGACGTCATTAACTCGAATATGTTCCATAATACTCAAAAATAAAGCTTCAATTCATCTAAATTTCGTTATATTTCTTAAATGTTATATTTTTTTCAACGGTTCACACTGCCTGTTGTGTGCATAATCGTCATATTTTTACTAAAATTCAAAACTAATTCCATTCTCCTTTTACATAATTTTTCATTTCATTTTCTTATAACAATAATTATGAAAACAACAAGTTAATATAAAAATGCAGTAATGGATGACAGTCACAAGTTATTTTAATGTTGCATCCATCATAAGTACTGCTAGCGTCTATACTCAATATATACATATGTATATTATATACAGTATATATAGAGAAGGAGTAATTTTAATACTTATATATATGGATACAGTCAAGTAAATAGTCTATAACAAAATTAAACTAACCCATTATTTGCTTTATCTAAAAATGGGCCAAAATATTAGTTAGTATTAATAGGACAAATCACCAATCTATTGTGACAGAAAAATTGAATATTTGGAATCACCACAATAGAAAAATGTCCAAATTTTTAATGATATAACAGAATCTGTTTACGTATCTATTCTCATTTTAAATAAGAAACCAAAAAAGTAATTGCAAATCACTTTTATTATTCATTATTTCATTTCTATGGTAACAACGAACTAGTTGGCTTTATTTCTACTTATTGAAAGAAACCGTAATAATTGTCAAATATTAATAAATAACAATATTTGATACTTATTAAATCATAAGACCAATTCTAAACACAGATTGATTTCTTACTAGTCATTTAGTCATCCTCTAATTATTTTATTGAGAATATATTTATTTTTTACAGTAGGTTTACATTTAACAGTAGGTAGTTATTAAAGCTAACAAATTCATTTTTTTGTTGTAACAAATGTAAATACATACATAATAAATTTCAGGCCCCAATTTGTACAACACAAATGACTTAAAGTTGAAACTACCATCTCAAAACTTTAACATTCATTCCACATATGCAAATTTTTAAATTGCTTTTAACATCACTAATAGATCTAAACTTGCAAGGGTCAATCATATGTGTATTTACTTTGTGAATCAAACCCATGAACATCGCTACCTGCCTAGATTACAACAGACGAGATACAATACAAGGCATTGTTAAAGATAAAACGAGAGTAAAAAGGGTGATTAAATGATTATCAGTTACTTCAAAATATTAAAGTGTACTATTGAAGAATCATTATTGAAATATTAAATCTTATTCTACACATTGATTTATTTCCTAAAACAAACGAAAGAGAGCCCTTGAAAAATACTTTTATGTGGTTCTTCCCACTCCTTCCCTCATATAAAAGAGATATAAAAAATTATATAGCTATATATCTACAATATGAAAACGAAGTACAAGATTTAAATTGTTATAATATTATATTCAGTTTGGATAACATAGGAATGTTAATAATTACTTCGCTTTCTCTAAACATATAATGAAGTATAATTGCTATGAACTAATAAATAAATAATTTATAATTGAAATTCACCTGTGTATATTATAAACTATTATTTTAACTGCAGTCACTTATGGTCTTAGGATAGTAATTAGTATCGATCGTTTTCTATTTAATTATAAGGTATTATACCCAAATAAAAAATAAAGTCGCGTTGTATATCCGAAAAATATTAGTTTCATTTAAAAGGTATCTTTGTTTTTAATTTTTACTTTCTATAAAGTAATTTTTCATGTTATAAAAGAGAAAAATAGTATATTACTCCGTAGTTAATAGCACTGTTTGTGTTGATTTAAATAAAGTGAAATACAAAAATGGGGGAATTTTGTTGATATAGTACTTTAATTTAAAAAGTTATTTATCGTATTTTAAGTAGACCTTTAGACAAAGAATATAAATAAAATACACGTCTTTTAAATAAAGTATGTGAAATTCCAAACAATATACATACATGTATGTATTACTTTGTAATTTAATAAATCGTTTCATAATACCGATGGTAGCAAGTTTCGTTACGACATCTTCTTCATCATCAGCCTATCGGAGCCCACTGCTGAGCAAAGGCCTCTTATCAAAAATCTTATGGAAATTTCAAACTTATTATTTTAAATTATAAGGTCATGTTTTGTTTACGATGTTTTATTTCACTGTCTGTCTGTGGTGTCTAAATACTTGTTAAAATACATATCACTTGGAATAATCATATAAATAAATTAAAATAAATTCGCGGGCTGTTTTTTGATAGTATTATTAAATGATTCTAATCATATAACTCTCGCACGAGAAACATCGTGCAGTTTTTAACGAGTAATGTTTAATAAAAAATCTGTTATCTTTAGTTTAAGTATGAAGTTAAATATATAGCTTTCTTAGAGGGAAGATAAATTAAACCGTATAGTTATACATATATTCTTATTCCATAATATGTGGCAATAATTTAATTCAAAAATTCTCCTCAAAACATATATTTAAACCTTTTAATTTTAAATTATAGTTTTTTATTTATTTACGTTTACGAAAATATTTTGTGTTTAGGAAGTTCGAATTACGTGTTATATATAGGATATGATAAAATAATGTCTTACATTTTTAACTCAAATAGTTGTGACTTGTGATATGTTCGTCTATTTGTGAATAGTGCAATACTTCCCACGTTTAGTGTTTCCGATGTAACTAATAAATATTAGATTTATAAAGAAGAGTTTGATAAAAATAAAAGTAACATGTAACTTTTTGGTCTCAACTGCAAATATGGTAATTTACTTAAACTTCCACTACAACTTGAGGGCTTACTTTATTCATTCTCCTAGATATGTAAAAAGTTTCACAAAAAAATTAGCTTTGTTCACTTACATAAGTTTCTTAGAATCATAGTTTCATTTTTCAGAAACCTTAACCCATTTCTATACAAATGAGATTTAAGACTTTCGCGAGTATTCATTCACCATTTCTATACAATTCGATCAGAAAACCTGACATTTGAATCTGATGAGTAAAATGAATATGTAGGGGCTTAGTTTAGTAAAAGTAAATTAAAAAAATTCACGACTCAGTAGAAAGTCTTCATAAAGTATTATTTATATTATATGGTAACCATAAAATTTTTGCAGAACTAGTTTCTGACAGTAGACCTTTCACATTGTAAGTGTAATTTCGTATAAAATATTTGTGAAAATCATATGAAAAAGGTAGAAAGCGTGGAGAAAAGTCTTGCCAGTAAGTACAAGGATATAAAAATGTTGACTATAATTTTGATATTTAATGCTAATATTGTGATCCTATGTGTGCTGTTTTATTTATAGATAGTAATATAACTAGTAATAAAATTCATAGTTTTCTTTTCTTTTAATTTTTTTTCATTATTTGTTATTAACGTGTTATTTAAATATAATATTTTGTAAATTCAATTGACATTAAAGCAAGTCTATAGAAGATTTCAAGGAAAAGTTTATGTTAAAAATAACTAACGTATCCATATACTACTACATAGCAAGAATAGTATTTCATAACTATTATATAGTATTTGAATAAGATCTGATACTGAGAATTAATATACTGAGTATTTTATAACGACGAAATAGAAACAGAAATAAACTGAACTTCTAGCAAGAGTGTTTGCATTTATTTAAATCATTTTATTTTGCTGACTACAAACTGAAAAATATAGCATTGAAGTATGTCATGGAATTCGAAGTGCAATAAAATCATAATACTTGACATTATTGCCTGAAAATAATAAAATCTTTTGTACTGCTTTAATCGCTGAATGTAATAAACTCCAGTCATAAATTTAACAAGATGGCGGACCATTTAATTGTTATTACTACTGTTATATGAAAACAATGTTTACAAGAATATTAAGAATACTGAAGCCTCATATTATGAATTACTAACAGGGTATATAATAATTATCTATTTAAATTTATATCCACATTTACTATGTCTGATCATCTTCAAAATAAAAGACAAATGTGGTGGTACAAGTAGCAGATTGGTATGAGTTGCGACATTCCTTTTCATCCTATCCTTGGTAAGTAAGTTCGCTTCTCAATTGGAGATGTGATTCATCAAGAAATGTGCCTTGATAAGGTCATGTCAAGTTATTAATGGGGCTACAAATATTTCATTTCGAACTTGCATGTAACATTTTTATTACATTTTTTACGATGATATAATTAACCCGCGGTCTTCTTATAAGTGAAAATCAATAAGATTTCATTTACCCAAATATATTAAGAATCTTAACAGTTTTGAAAATTAATTTTAAGGTTATTTTAAGAATAACTTATAAAACCTTGTAATAACAAACAAATAAGTCAGAATCATAAGACAGAAAGATTTTTATCAGAGATTAAACGTGGCGAATGTTCTCGAGTATACTTAAATTTTATTTGTATAACTATTCCCATAAATATAGCACTCAAGAAATCTCTAAAAAACAGTGGACCGATGACGGCGTCAGCCTGAAAAACACACCAACGTTTCTTTGAATTGAATTTGATGCTCTTGAGTCTTTGATTTTTTTTTGCTTGATGCTTTGATTTTCTTTGTTTATGTATACATACAACACTAGTGATGTTTTCAAAGGATATTTTGATAGAAAAATTAGTGAACCATACTGTGTTGTCCAAACAAAACATCCATGTTGATCAAAACAATTTAATTATTACGAGTATTATTAAACAGAATGAATTGAATGCGTGACAACAAATTGAACGGATATAGTTTCAGCAAGATATATAATAGTTGTTTTACATTACCTATTTTTCAAGAGTTTTTTTTACATACAAAGATTTTCTGGAAGAGAATGGTATGTTGCGTTAAGCCTTTCGCTTGTCAGAATATCCCTTTCTTTTTTATTTTTAATAATTAGTGGGAAGTATAATAACGTTTACTTAAGTTAAAAG